AAAAACTAGAAGACTACACTAAATATAAACCATTCGAACGGGTCATCGAGACCAATCAATATCGAAAGCGGGATCTTCCAAGGAGATTTATTATCGCCACTATTCTTCCGTCTTGCTTTATCGCCTCTCAGCTGCCTACTGAAAAAAAAAAGCGGGAGTTACGGAGACAAGTCACGGTATGACAAACTGAACCACCTATTCTATATTGATGATCTTAAAACGTTTGCCAAGGATGACAACCAGCAGAAAAACCTACTCACCATTGTCAAAACCTTCTACGAAGACATTAGGATGGAGTTCGGAATCGGCAAATGTACCAAAGCCATCTTCAAAGGCGGTAAATTAACGAAAACTATAGATTTAGACCTTGATATCAACATCAAGATTAAGAAACTAGACCAAGATGGTACATACAAATACTTACAAATTAATGAAGTTGACAAAATACAACATACAATTATGAAGAAAAAGATCCGAAAAGAAGAGATAATAGAAAGCAAACTTAATGGGGCCAATAACATTAAAGCTATCAACAGCTTAGCTATACCCGTAGTAAAATACAGCTTCAACATTACTAAATGGAAGTTGAATGACATTAAAAAATTTGAACACCAAGACCAGATGAGGATGCAACACCCGAAATCAGATGTTGATAGGCTGTATGTACCAAGCGCTTTAGGAGGCCGAGGTCTAATTCAATTTGAATTAACTCTAAAAACTACAAAAATCGGATTGGAAGCCTACCTCATAAAATCCAATGTCACTCTCCTACAAATATTAAAACACCGAATCCACTCTATCAACAAAGAAGCTGCACTCTTCAAGAAACAGCTTAAGATACCTGAAATCCTACCAACAAAAACGAAGAAAATACCATCTATGCCAAACGAATAAAGCAAAAAGCAAGACATCTTGGCTAAATGAAATTACAACAAAACTTGGAGGACAAGGCGTTGCATGACTAAATACATAAAAAGAACGAAAGAAGCAGATGTGGACCAACAGAAAACACATCAGTGGCTGTGGAGAACGGGGTCGAAAGCTGAGACAGAAGGCCTAATTATTGCAGTTCAGGACAAAAGCCTCGCAACCAGATCCTATCACTGTTACATAATCAAGGATGGAACTAACCTGAAATGCGAAAAATACGATGAAACTGTCGACTATATTATCTCAAGATGTCCGGAACGGTCAAAAGATAAATATACCCAGAGACATAACAAGATAACGACATATGTGCACTGGAAGATATGCAAGAAGCATAAAATCAAAACGATTGAGACTATGACTACCAACCAGACACAGTTACCCAAAATAACGATGTAACTATCATCTGGGACATGCCAATTCACATTGACAGGAATTAAAAGCCAAGTGACCTGATATTATCATAAACAAAACAAGAATGTCAGGAAGTGTATGCATAAGAAAACATAGTATTTGGAGGTTTGGGCCTCTTGAGAAAAGGAATGGAGAATTTTACTAAGAGTGTGCCAGGTAACATCAACATACAAGTTGCCCAGAAAATCGCCCTACTAGGAACATCTCATATACTAAGATAATTTATATCAATTAAATGACAATTCTCCTATAGAGCCTAAGGACCATAGTTTAGATCTGGCTCTACAGGATACAAAGTAGGAAACATAACACACAAACAATAATAATAATGGTCACATGATTTATTTTTTCAGTAGGAAACCACTTTCGCAGGTCTTTATTAATTAACATTAACAAAACTTGATGATTTCTAAGGAAAAGAGTCAATTCCATATTGAAGACAAAAGAGACAGGAGAAAACGGTGAATTTTGTATGAATTGATGGTGGCAGGGGGTGGATAAGATCTACAAGGGATAGGAGGTTGTTGGGAGTCATGATCACTTACGTCCTGAAGGGACATGGTACATAGAAAAAGGAAAATTCCACATATTTTCAGAAAGCTTATCTCGCGATTCTATAGGGAATTAGTGTATATACAAGTTTCACTGAAGTCTCGTTTGCACTTAAAAACCAAAAATTGACCGTTTCGTTCTGGGCAAAATTTAAGAAAATTCATATTTCTTCGTATTTGAGCCAAGAAAAGATTTCAAGTTGGAAAATAATTTTCTCGGTCAAAAATGATTAAGTCTTAATATCAAAATATTTTATAATTTAATATTTCATTTTTGAGATGAATAACCGTCAAAATTCTTGTATTATTTCCAACTGTGGTTCTCCTGTTGGTTGATATAGATTTCATTATAGAAACAACGTTTCGACAAAGTACCCTATGGCCATCACCAGGTGTCCAGTGACTGGCTGCTATGAGATATTTGTTGATTATTGGGATATTTTGTCCCCATGATATTAATTATTGTTCGTTCCTGTTGAAATGGTGTGTCATTACCAGATTCAAGACCACAAACTAATATCTAACGCTGATAAACCTTGGTGAATTCCAGAACTTTCTTGCCAAAGTTTGGTTGGCTGATTCGTTTTCTACGGTTTATCAATTCTTTGCACGTTAAAGACAGAAACTATTTTTAGATTGTAAGAATATCTTTTGAGATAATAATTGTTTAGTGGTACAATCTTACTATATTAGTAAGACTTTTATTACGACAAGTAAGACGTGTATCACCAGGAACTTTGAAAAGGTTGAATCATACTCTTCCCCAAGGGGATTTGCGCGTAAGGGATATAATGAAAGCAACGGGAATTAGAACTCGGCTCTCCGATTAACAATCCCGAACTACCCGCATATCCAAGCTTATAGCACCAGGTATTCCCAAGCAGTCACCCATACTAACTAGTCTCGACGTTGCTTACCTTCGCGGTGATCGTACAGGAACCGGTGATGCGGCTGTAAGCCTTGCCAAAGGGATAACAACACCAAACTGGAATACATGCATATATATATATATATATATATATATATATATATATATATATATATATATATATATAGTCAAACCTAGAAGCCAGACAAACCTACCAAGGTTTCACCTAAGCGGCTCGTCAGGGAAAGCTGGCTCCCTGACGATCCACTTAGGTGAAACCTTGGTAGGTTTGTCTAACTCTCTAGGTTTGACTAGGGTCTCTCTACTTTTGTATTGAGCACTTTTTTAGTTAGTTGATTACTCGTATAGGTTTTTTTTTCTTTGGGCTTTGGACCTGTATGCTGTACGATTATTTTCGACAGACGTTCATGTTTCTAGCTCTTTCTTTTTTTAAACCTTTTTTTCCTTCGAAATTGATTTGATCATTAGCAAATCAAGAAACCGAATTTTTTTTAGACGAGTGTAGTTACCTATATATATATATATATATAGGATTGATGTGAGTTTGTGAGCCTTTCACGCTTTTATCAGATGATCGCAAAGCGTGAAACCCAGGCTCACAAACTCACATCAACAAACAAGTATATATATATATATATATATATATATATATATATATATATATATATATATATATATATTAATAACGGCGAAGCTCGAGCTGTGACTCTAGATATCTCGAAAGCGTTTGACAGAATTTGGCATACTGGTCTTCTACGTAACCTTCCGGGTTACGGTATTACAAGACGATTATTTGGTTTAATCCAATCATTCCTATCAAATCGTGAAATGAAGGTCGTCCTGGACGGGTTCTCTTCCAATTCCTTCCATACGAACGCAACGGTTTCGTAAGGCTCTATACTGGGTCCTACACTGTTTCTGATCTTCATCAATGATCTCCCTGATGTCATCAGTTCTCAAGTTGGCATCTATGCAGACGACACTACCATTTACTCCTGTCTCAATAATAAATCCGGAGGCGCTGACAAAGTTAACCTGACTCCTGCTCTTGAAAAGTATCTTCAATCAGTGATTAACTGGGGCAGTAAATGGCTTGTAAACTTTAATGCCTCCAAAACTAAACTGCTTTCATTTAACCGCCACAGAGAAACTTCCCTGCTCCCACCTTCAGCAAGGTTGATGTTCGACTCCGATAGGGCGGATTTTAAGCTAGTATTTTAAAAAAACCTATACTTATAAGACGAAGTAAAGCTAATAATAAAATAATAACTGTAGTAGGTTTACATGTAGAGAAACAAAAATTGAAAACATTATTAGATAATAGAAGAAAGATGGCGTAAACAAATCAGAGAGAATTGTGCGGTAAGAAGAGATGTTTGTGACCAAATATGGCGCCCATGAAATACGAACACTTGAGATGTGGATTATGGCACCCTTAGAATTAGACTAAAGCTATTTCTTCGTGTCCGAGCTAGCGCTGTTTGCTCTCGAAGTCGTTGAACCTCGGCAATGTGCGCGTGGTGTAATAGCGACTCGGAATGAGAATTCGGAGAGCCGATTTCGAATTCCAGTCGTGGTCGTTACATTTTTACGCATAAATACCACTGGAAAAATTTTTCCTGCCCTCGTCATGGTTGGACTTGTAAAAAAATCATTATTATTATCAAAAAAAAAAAAAATCATTGTTAATGCGGTGAGAACAGAAATTGATTAAATCACTTTGAAAAGAAAAAAAAAAGGAATTACTCTTATAATCCAAAATATGTTTTGGGTTTAAAAAACAAACAAAGGGTTGATAAGTGTTTGAATGAAACGTACTGGTGTTAAAGCAGCATTAAACTATAACGTGTGTACAAAACTATTTTTTAGCTAAAAACAAACAGGCAGATCCAGTTTCTACTGTATGATTTAAAACAAGAGTCTGCTGAAGAGTTTTGCATTTCATCAAATAATAAAAAGTCATGCACACATGCGCATGCGCAAGCAAAAACCCAGAGAGAGAGAGAGAGAGAGATAGAGAGAGAGAGAGAGAGAGGAAGAAATGGAGATACAAATTATGAATGACAAACATTAAAAAATTTGAAAAACAACAGTCAGAAAAGCCGGAAGAGATCAACACGGTGTGATCAATCAAACCAAGAAAAAAAATTAACATTTATTTTTATATAAACGAAATTATCAATATTTAATTGTGATAAGAAAAATTCTATAAAATATAGCCGGAAACCAACGGAAACGAAGCAAAAAGAAATTTCTTTCTTTCTTTCTTTCTTTCTATCTATCTGTCGTTTGTTCAAATCTATCTATCTATCTATCTATCTCAGATTTCTAATCTTTCCCTTCCTCTCTCTCTCTAACTGCCGTTTGTTCAAATCTATCTATCTATTTAAGCTTTCATCAATATAATCCGATACAAATGTAAAAGCCCCGTTGCAGGTAGTCTTATTGCTGTGCTGTACTGATGTTAATCATCACCCTCTAGCCATTCAGTGTGCTATAAAAATTGTCCTATACTATATTGTTCCAAATTAAACAACGTTTTGTCTGGTTGGGACAATTAAAATACAATAACATACTGAATTTGTTAACATTTTAAGACGTTCAATGAAAACAAAACAAAGAATTTAAAAATCGGTACATACATAAACAGGAACATCATAAACTATAAATACCACGTTTAACATAGAATTAAAAAAAGGACAAATCCGCATTATTATTCGTCACAAAATATTCTGATGAAGCTAAATAAATAGCGAAACATGGCAAATTTATCTAGATTTTTCCTACTTGTTCCTTATTTAATTTCTTCTCTAGGTGCCAAGCCTGGTGACCGATGATCGATCATGTCTCTCTTTTCGATTCATGATTGAATCGGAAGGAGTATCCCCGCAGTAGTCTGCCATACATCACTTTCTGCGGTAGACTGGTTGCCACCAAGGTTATAGGACCCAGTCTGTCCTGCTTTTGATCCATCACTGAGTGGGTGGTGGAGGAGATGGATTCGCAGACGTATTCGCGTGTAATGTAACGAACTCGACTGGAATTCGAACTCTCCGATTTCCGATTCCTATTCTCCATCTCATCACCCGTACATCTAATTTTACAGCACATGGTACTCCCATATATAGGAAGTTGTCACTTGTCCATATGTTGTTATACAATTTTAGTGACTGTTGTAATGATTTGTTGGGCAACTGTTTTAGGAATTGATAGTGGATATTGTCCTGTCCCACAGTTATATTGTGGGCTTTTTTTTTAAAGATTTATTCAGTTCCTCTATAGGAAATGGTAGGTCATAGCTCTCAGTGTTATTTGATTTAAAGTTTAATTTTTGTTTTTCCGCTTTTTTTGTTTGAACTTCAGAAATTTTCGGCTACCATTCTTGCCAGATGAGTTTATAGAGATTGTTTTGGCTAATTGTCCAGCGATATCCTTTTCGCTGGTTATTTTAAAGTTATTTATCGAGATTTTTTATAGCGTTAAAATGATGTTTACCAGCTATTTTTCTTATCATACCCCATAGAGATTTTTTTGTGGCAGAATTAAGTCTGCTGGCGTAGTTTTTTCAGCATTCTTTTTTTTTTCTTTAATTATTATATTTTCCGTGCTTTTGCTCGAAGTTGCTTAAATTGTAACATAGAGGTTGAAAGCTGTTTGTTGAAATCTCTCACAGCTGGGACTCATAGCTTCATTACACTCATCATTGATCTAAGGTCTGTTACGTTTACGTTTGTACTGAACTTTTTGGAATGCATTCTTTTGCTATAGATATAAAGATTTTCGTAAACTAGTTTAAATCCTTGATGAATTTATCTTCATCTAGTTTATCTGAACATTGGTTTTTAAATTCATCCCGCTTAAATTCCAGTGAAGAAGATTTTTATCATTATGTTCTGAATTTTAGTGATAACTACTGCATGTATCCGCCAGAACCTTCCAAGAGAAATCCATATAGATTGATGGATCACATATCCATAAATCTATTGTTGAGTAGCTGCCAGTAAATGGATTTAAGTAAGTCGGATTTTTATTGTTATAAATAGATAAATCATTGTTCTCCATCATTGTTTCTAAACTCCCTTTTTGGTTTCTGTCTTTACAGACCCCTTGTTGCAGTTGTTTTATATATATATATATATATATATATATATATATATATATATATATATATATATATATATATATGTACTAGTGAGCAAATCAAAATGAGCTGACTCATTTTATAGTTCACCAATAGAAGGGTTAACCAATCAGAAAGCTCAAAATATTCAATGCGACGTGTATAAAGGCAGCCATTTTGTTTTTTCTCCAAAATTGTCTGCACTGCCAACCTGATATCGAAGACTTAAGGAATTACTTAACAACCGCTACTTTCTCTGAATCTTCACTGCCGAACTCTGATATTGAACAGATTACGAACTTCACTGGATTCCATATTCAAAGACTGCGGCAAACATGGTCAACACCCCTATGGTGCTGTAACAATTAAAGACCCTAGTACCATAAAGGGTGAAAAGAGTCTCATGAATTCATAATTTTTCGCTTCATTTACTCCCTTATTAGGTGGGATATGTACCGAGCAAATGTTTATTGTCCAATGTAGGGTCACTTTAACAGCAGTCGCATGATAAGTAGTTGTCAAATTTATATTATATTTCTAACTAGGGTAGATGTACCACCAGAAGCATGAAGCCCAGTGTCAGGTGTATAGTCGGATTGCTGGCATTCTTTTATGTTGACTTTGTCACCTTGCATAAGGAATGTTTTCTGAAGGCAAACAACTTTTGACAGGGTTATTATTAACAGAAGCAGTTCATTTATATTTGCCTTTATTCCACGTAAGTTCCATTGAAATATCTTATGCATGGCTGTTTAAACATTTTCGACCTTTAGCATATGTGGTTTTGATTTCTTTTTTTCCTCAGTTTTCATTTTGGAGGTTTTAGCCGTTTGAAGGTTCTGGCATTCCACCTCCATCATTTCTAGTTCGTCAAATCGGTTTTACTTAGGAATTTGGCCATTGTGGATTTCCAGTTTTTGTTTGCTGATTTTGTTCATTTGCGAAATAAACTTTTCATTCTGTCTTTCCTGGGTTTTGGTGAACGGATAGGAGATCGTTGTAACCTTTGTTTTGGTATTTTTGCTAGAAGTGGTTTGTGTTTGAGCAATCGTTTTGCTATTTGTTTGTTCTTTATTTATTATTGTGACGTCACCCCGTGCCTGTCTGCCCCGTTGCCGTCCTGTCCTGTGACGACCAATGTTACTTGGTATTGGTCGCGGCACCAAATGTGACGTTCTAACCCTTTGCTGATTCGGATGGGAATCTGGTTAGATTCGGTATCAGCTTTGTCGTTCCCAGCTCGCCTCCAACGTCTGGTTACCGAAGTAACTGCTTTGATTTCTAGTCTAACCTACCCACGTTGTGATTTGATCTTAGGTAGACGAAATCAATCAGTCGCCGGGCCGCAATGCAAGCCGAGTCTGAGCAAAGGTAACACCGCACAAGTATATGTAAAAAAATAAAAATAAAAATAAAGTAGCAACTCGAAAAGTTCAAATGTGTTAAAAAAGAATAACAATATTTTATATCTGGTTGCTGAATACAGGACTGAATCTTTCTCCCAAACCATTAATATGGATTCGTGACACTTTGTGTTTGTTAGGCGAGTCTTAACATCTTAAATTGTTTTTCAAGAAACTGGTTTTTGGTGTCTTCAGGCGATATTCGTAAAACTTGTTTTGGTAGTGTGAGTCTAAGTCGTTCTTCAAAAATAAATTGTTTTTGGTTAGAAGTCAGAATGCGTGGATCTTCAGTCAGCTTCCTGCGAGGCTGGTCTCAGAGCTCACAGCTCAACTCTGCGTCTCTCTCCCCAACTCCGTTCTGTGCTACTGCCGTCCACTCGCTGCGACTCTGCTTATATGGACGCCGACCAAAACCGGGGTGGGCTTGTCGGGGTTTGAGGTTCCTTGATAATTCTAAATCCACAATAAGGATTTTCTTTGTTTTCGGACAGGAAAATTTATTACTTTCCATTTTTGGAAGTCCATTACTTTCTACTTTAAGGGAATCGTCCTCCCATATTCTTCCTTTCTCATATTGGTATCTCACACCAATCCCCTCAGAGGGCGTCAACAGGTTTCCCCTCCTTTCTCATAGTTTACCGTCGCCCACCGCTCACGCCAGCATTCAGCCAATGAACGCCCAGCAGCGTGGGTGTGGCCAGACTGGCCTCAGTTTAAAAACTTCGCTCAAAGGAAAAAAAAAATTATCTTCCTTTTTTTTTCTGTCTTTCTCTTCCCCGAGCAGACCTCCCACGACTCATGGTGTTGTCCCTAATCTCTATCTTAACCGAATTTCATCTGGAGTTCGTCAACGAGATTTTCGTCAAATAATCATTGGGGTTGATCAGTGAATCTCTTTGTCTCCTCAATGCCTACGTGCTTCCGTCGCCACAGTCTGTCCATGCAACAAACTCTTATCATGGATAAGTCTGAACATAAATCAGGTGTCTTTCCCAAAACCAAATAATGACTCCGAGGGATAGTTAATGGTTTATTCCTTTCCTTTCTCTTTTCCTTTCCTTTCTTTCTCTCCTTGGGAGTGGTTCTCAGCTGATGTCTTTCTCGGTCAATTTCTTATCGCCTTAATTATTTCAGCTTCTTCTCGCTTTAATTATTTCTCGCTTTTCATTTTCACGCGACCGCTAAATAGTGTCACATTATTTCATTTCTTTCGTTGTCCTTCTATTGCGGTTCAGCCCGCACTATTCCCTTAGAATATAGACTTTTTGGGTAAGTTTGAAATGTGGGCAAATTATTTGGTCCCAAGAGTACGAGCTTCTCATTGAGGGCTCTGTATTTGTCAGGCTGATCGGCATTATTTGTAGTCTTATTGTCTGCTATTTTTGCGTCGGAAGGGCCTTTCATGTAACCTTGTACTAGTTGACTTGCTTTTGAAAATGAGATGTTTCTTTCATACTTTACTTCGACAACCCCCCCTTTCCTTTTTCCAGAAATCGCATGTTCGTGTGTATAGTGGATGACTTTTCTGTTAGCACATCGTAGCATTCTTCTTCAGAATGGTCCGAATCTGTTTGGCCACGTTTTCCACATGTTGGGCGACTCCTGAATCTATCCCTACGATGTCCAAAATTTTGACCCCTAAAGCATTTTAGTGGAGCAGAGATATATTGTTCCATTGGCCCAATATTATACCTATTTTTATTTTTTATTGGTGGAGGGTATTTCAGGTGTGCTAAAAGTAATGTGTCAATTATAATTGTTTCCCCTTTTAATTGAGATTCCATGGTAATCGCTGACCCCTTGGCTTCCTAAGGCAGATGTAATTTCCTTAGGT